TTTAGTTTTACTTCAACTATAAATTAAAATTAATTTTTTTTAATAGGAAAAATGAGCTATGCTGGGCTGATTATATATTGATGGGGGAGAACAGAAGAAGAGAGAAGAAAAAGCTAAGTCCGATCCTTCCATACTCCTTTCTCTAACCATCCCTTGTCTCCTGAGAGGAGAATAGAGATATGGACACTAATACAAAAAATGAGTCTATTTTAGCAGACATTGCAGGATTAATTTATTGCAAAAGACAACAGTCAATTTTGAAACTAATAAAAGTATCATAGTTCTGTCAAAACATATTTACTACCATTTAAGATCAACTATTTTTGAATTTTCAAAGTTGGTCTCTTTATGCTCATACTTTACGGTCTAATAGCATATCTTACAATTTTTTCAATGACCACATCCTAGTAGATATTCTCAATATAATTAGTAATTTGCAAATCTGAACATAATATTAAGTGATAATCAGCTTTGTAATTGCACACCAAAAGCGATTGAAAATTTGATTATGCTTCAAGGGTTCGAACTTCAAGGCAGTGACTAATTATTAATTTTGTTGATATCTCTAAACATTATTATTTGATTGTATGATATAATTAGGATAACTAAATATATTTATTTAAGATAGATAAATTAATCAAATTTTATTTCTGTGTTATATTTCTTTGAGCTTTGTTATACCTTATTATGTCATGAGCTGTTATATAAATGATAATATTTTCACATCATGACATTAAAAAGCTTATTCTAGAGAGAGAGAGAGAGAGAGAGTTTTTAGTTTTATATAAAGTAAGAAAATTTATTTCATTTGAAAAGCTTCTTATTTTTTTTCGGAATTATAAAAGTTGTTATTAGTTAATGTTTTTATTATTTACCTTTTTCTCAAAACTTAATTGTTCTTACAAAGACCTCAAAGCAATTTTAATGAAAATTAATTGGTTGACCCCATATAGTTCCATCCCCGTTTGTGACTTATTTTTTATAATTTAAATCGTCTTGACTCAGCTCTTATACTTTCTTTTGTCTTCTCCATTCATCCCTACTTTTCAAAAAGTAACGAAGTCCTCAGTAACTCATCCTATGTGGCACCTATGGTTTGGCATTCTTTATACGAAAGACTTAATCCGATCTATAGCAAGAGTGCTGTGGGAGTGATGATTTTTCTCCCTTCTTTCTTTCCTTGGGCCAACAATTTGTTATGCTAAAGGAAATCCCCCTAGTCTCACCGAAGGAAGAGGCAGTTAACAGTGTTGCATTGCTTAGTTGACAGTCTTATTATTAGTGCCACATTAGATAAAATAAAATGAGAATGATATTCTATTAAAAAATGTAAACTAAATAAATATTGCTAGCCAAAGACAAAACACAAAAGGCAACTTAGAGACCGGAACCTATTTGTTTCCTATAATTATTTTGGTCATTTTCTGTAGTTATCTATGACTTTTTTTTTTAATAATTTTTAGGTCATTTTGTATAATGTTTTTAGTCAATTAATGATTAAATTAACAAATATTTAATGGGTGATGACGTTGCTTCACTTTAAAGTATGGAGGCAACGTTGAGCCCCCTTGATTTGAGGGTGTCCAATCAGTACCTAAAATAATTGAGGGCAATTAGCACTTTAACTCTTAAAAAAAAAAAAAACACAGCACATTGATTAGCACTAAAAACTTGTCAACAACAACTTCTCTCTGTCTCTCTCTTTGCTTCCTTTGTTTGGGATGTTTTTTTTTTTTTTAATGAAGGGATGCCAGTTTAAATAATGAACAATATATAATATATGGCTTTGCATATAATTAATTTTGTGCACATACAATATATAATTTCCAATAGCATATTATTGTACATTTTTTATTAAACTACATCACTCCTCTTGATATCTAGGGCCAAAGTCAACCAGTCAAATTAAAACTAGCTCTTAGTCCAGGCCGATAAATCTCCATACCCCAGACACAAATAAAGTATAAAGTCACCAAAGTAGTCAAAGACTAGTAAATCAGTAAACAACCAGTAAAATTAGTAAAATCCTGACCGGTTCCCAATAAAAAAAAACAGATAAAAATAAAAAATGCATGTTAACTTTTTTTTTTTTTAAAAAAGCGTAACTGTAAATTTTTTGAAACTTGGGGCCAAGAGCTGCGATTTTCTTAAAACCTTCTCAACCCCACATGTGAACCCAGCTTCTTGATTGACTCACCACCTAGTACTTTCAGACGATCAACGTAGGACTTACACCAATCACTTTTTCTATTATCATCCTCTCCAGAGGCATCTGAGATTCACTTCTTTTTTTTTCTCTTTCGATCTTCACTAATTTTTTTGGCTACATTCATAGAATCTATTAAATCTAGGTAATATTAAGTGTTTATTTATATTTTTCCTCAGGTTCAATCTTTGAAGTTTAGTTTTCATATAATTTGTAAAACTACTTTCATGCATTGTCATTTTATATATATATATATATAATAAGTATGGACTCATAAATATTACACATATTTGTACTAACTGTGGTGTATTATAAGATTATGTACTAAACTAAATAGAGGGGAACTTATTACTCATTATTTTCTTTTTAATTTATTATTTTTTATCCCTTTATAAATTCACAGTTTTTCATTTTAATGGCAACCAGTCTAACCACGATTCAATCAATAAACTGTGAATCAGTACCTCAATCAAGTTAATGACTAGTCTAGTTATTAAAACTTTGCTCTCCTATAACATGGCATAATGAAATATATACAACAACAATAATAATAACCTACAAGTCTTATATCACTAGGAGGGGTTGCCATTGTACAACTTAACAGTGTTATTTTTAAAAGACAAATTAATAAAATATCCTTCAAATTTTTAACAGGTATAGTCTTTTAGATGTCATAATTTTACTGAACAATTGTTTAATTAAGGACATTGAGTATAGTTAAAAAATTCAGGGTAAGTAAATGAAAGTTTATCTTTTTCTTTTTATTTCTTCAACATTTATGTATCTATATATCTATATACCATATATTGTGTAAAAGGTCAATGCAATGTGTTTGTCTTGTAATTCGTGTTATGATTTGTTAAGATATTTAATCGTATTGAACAGTGTGGTTTCGTTGTTTTGATGTCTGATATTTATTTATTTCTTTCCAGTGGAAGTTATGGGATGGATTTGTGTATAGTTATTGTAAATTTGATTAGGCATATGTCTAAAATTAAAGCCAAAGGTTCCGTTTTTGATTTCATGTATTCCTCAATAATCTCATAAAGTTATATTGTATCATTTTAATATATTGTCTGAAACTTTAAAATTACAAAATCATCTCATATAATTGGATTTAATTTTTTTTTACCTAACCAGATGCAGTGGAAACTTGATTTTTCTTAATTAAAAACAATTAGATCTTGGTCACATTAATTTACAAGGTATATTTTGATTTAGATATAATCTAGATTAATATTTTGGTACCATCCATCATCTTTTCCTTTGTCTTTTGCAACTTTGATAATTATGAACTTATGCTAACAGCTTTCCGGTCAAAAAACAATTAATTATTTGTAATATTAAATTTGGAACATATTCACTCGAGTGACAATGCTAATATCTATATCAATGTTAAAATATAAAGTGTTTTCATTTCAATTGTTCCACTTAGGATTATTATCCAGAATCTCAAATGGAAAATATAAAGCTTCAAGTCTTATAATTTTATGAAGGTTAAAAAATATATTAGTGCTATGTGTAAAATTAAACTTTTTTTTGGTAAATTGAGCTTTATTTCTATATACCTTTTTGTTTGGGATTAACTCTTCAGCTTGTTCATTTAACATGGGACTGATGTGATTAGCTTGTTATTAGTTCTGCAAGTAAATAATATAATAAAAATAATTGGTTGATGATGTTAAAAATATCAAATTTATGGACGAGTGTCAGCACAAGTGGGAAGTGTTACTACCACATTGTTTGTACTATACATAATCACACACAGTTATGATAACTCTACTAATTAATTATTACACTATGAATTAACGATATTTTTAAGTTTTTCAAAAAGCTATTTGAAGTAGCTTTTTTAACTTTTGCAGTGAGTTTTACTCTTCCCTCTTTGCCTTTTGTCCATTTCTCTCTCCTTACTTTTCGCCTCTATGCTTCGTCTTCTTTTGTGATGGAAAGGAATCAAAATCATGGGGAGATATTAAAATAATTATTTTCTATTCTCCCACTTTTATCATTTTTGCGTGCATTTTATTAAATACACATTAAAATAATTATTTTGATGCATTTTATTTTAATATTTAAAAAACGGAGAATATTATAATACATGATATTAATTAATTATAAGCACAAAAATAATTGTGTTATATGAAAAAAAAACTTTTATATATTTATATATATTTAAAGGCCTTATCCCTAATTAAATCGATACATGTGGACCTCTTTATAATTTAATATTTTATAATTTATCAACTTATTTTAATTTTTAGAATTTAAGTTTAGTAATTTATTAATTTACTTTATTTTTTATAATTTATAAATAATAGTTGAGTGTATATAGACTCCTTTTGTAAAATTGTAATTTAAAGATTAATATTTTTTCTTAAAAAAAAATTCTTGTCTTTTTCAGTCATTATACATCTAAACTTGCTTTGGAATTTTATCATTCAAACAAGTTTTTGTTTGTTAAATTGACTTTTAAGAAAAATGTATCCTAACATAAATTAGTTAATGTCGCTCATTTTTACCCTAAGTTTAGCTATTTGCAAACCTCAATATATTCTAAGTTTCTAATTTTAATTTTACAATTTCTAATCCAAACACACCCTAATTATTATTATATATCACATCTCCTTGTTTAATTCTATATCTTATATCTTATTTATTTTCCTTTTCCTTTATCAATTTGCAGGAGACATTCCAATAGAGATTGGCCTTCTTCAAAATCTAAAATTTCTATATTTGGGTGCTAATAAGCTTTCTGGCCACATACCATCAAATATCTTCAATATATCAGAGTTGCAAGAAATTGATTTAAGCTGGAATAATTTGTCAGGAAGTATTCACTCTAATATGTGTCATGGACTTCCAAATTTACAAATGCTACATCTTCAGGACAATGAATTATCAGGAGCCCTGCCATCTAATTGGATACAATGCAAAGAGCTCAAAGACTTACAATTAGAATACAACTCTTTGATAGGTATGTGCTATCCCACTATCTCAAATCTTCAACTTTAATTTCTTTGCTAATATATTTTAATTGTATTTTAATGATTTTTTGATTGGTAAGACAATAAAAAATAGAAAAACTTTATTTTCATTTTAATTTAGGAAAATTTAATTCTCTAGTGCCTATATTTTATTTTTTTTAATCAAGCCATCATTGTTTGATCAATTAGGCATGTTAATCCTTGAGGTTAAAATTATTAATGAATGATTAATATTACAAAGCTTTTAAGTATAGAAGGCAGAATTCCAATTAGGTCTCTTATACGGACATTTTCATTTAATTGCAAAGGACTTTAGTTACATCAAAAATCAATTTTATTTACTAAACTACAATTCAATAAAGGAAGGTATTTTATTAAAAAAGGCGAGTAATTTAGTAATTTTTGTTTTATTTTAAATTTATAAAAATTTCTTGGGATTTAAATGAAAATTTTCTAATTTAAAATCTAAGTGAATTCAGGTATTGTTTTTCACTTAATCCAAAACTCGTTTATCTTTTCAGCTTTTATTTTTCTCTTATTTTCGATTTAGATTTATTACTCCATTGTAATTCAAAAAATTTAATACTTTAAATTTCAAATATAATATTTTTGAATAATAGTTTAAAAATAATATATATTTAAATAGTTAAGTGTAGATGGTTTTCATTCAGGATTGAAACTATTTTTATAAGTTTTCAAAATTAATTTTAAAATTTAAAACATTTATAAATTTGGATTTTTATTTAAATTTATTTTAAAATTTAAATAAAAATATATTTTATTGATTCGATTTGGTAAAACTTATGATATATTATTAGGACAAAACACAAAAAAATCCATAAACTTTGACAAAATTGTAGATGATCCTTCTCACCTTTAAACTTTTAAAGCTAATCCCCCAACTTTTAATCTTGCTTTTCAAAACCCTTACCATTTATTAACTATATTATGTTATTAATGGAATTTGTCATGTCAGATTAATGCAATACACAAAACATGCAAAAAAAAAAATTTTTTTATTATTTTTAAGAAAATTTAAGGAGGGCCAAAACTATAAGTTTTACTTTTAACACAGGTGAATATCTAAAATAAAAAATATATAAAAGCTATTATTGATTGACAAAGAATATCTAAATTATAGTTTAATATAAAAGGCTGTTTGTTTAAATTGATGAAGAATAATTAAATTATAACTTTTCTCTTAAATTGTGTTCATCGTGAACAATAAGAATAATGTCTCTCAACTAGAAAAATGTAGAGCATTGTCATGTGTGTCAAAAGTTAAAAAAAAAATACAATTTTAATACTACATAACAGAGTTAAAAATAATAAAAGTGATTTATCATATATGGACACTCGCATCATTAAGCCATTTTTCTTGTATCTTTATCATATATTGGTACTACAATTTTTCTCCCTAGTTATTTCTCTCATATTACTATGAACTATAATGCATTTTCTCTTCCTATTATTCCTTTTGCTTATTAATTTTTGTTTGCATAAATTTTTCTTTTCCAACATTTCTTTATGCATAAAGATAAGTCTTTAATATAGGTTGGCCAAAAGAAGTCTTTAGTTATTTTTAATTTTATTGATACATATTAGGACGTCTTGTTATCTAATCTAATAAAAAAAGCAATGCATTTCCGGTCAAAATATAGTTAATTAATATATTAAAGTGGATTTACATTTACTGAGTGATAGTATTAATATAGACATCAGTTTAAAAATATGACGTCCCTATCTCACCTTTTCCCTTTAAATTGTAAACTAGAAATAAAAAATGGAAATTACAAAACTGCAGTTCTCATAGTTTTACCAAAATTTAATTTTAATATGACATTAAAAGCTATCATTATATATTGCCATTGTGCATAAATTTTTTTTCTATAAAATCATTTTTTTGTGAGATTGATTATTTAGTTCACGTTCATTATATAAATAGTAGGACTTAAAACAATGTTCCCATACAAAAACTTGGAGCATTATATTAGTTTAATACCCGTGAATGCTTGAGATATCTCAACAATCCTTTTTTTCCTCAATTGTTTTTCATGGGATATCCAAAATAATTTAAAACCCAACTGAAGTTCCCCAGATGTGCTTGTGTGTGATGGATGTGTATAAGGAATTACATTTGATAACTACTCTTAGAAGCCATAAGTTTTGAAGGATGATTCCTTGAAAATAAAATGTTAATCATTTCAGCGATGATGCACAAAAGAAAAATTGATAATCAAAATTGAGAGAAATGTTATTAGATAATTGATGGTATATAATAATGTAAAGCTTATAAATACCTTATTGGTGGGCGATTTGTAAATGATCTATAAGTGATTTTTGAGCTTGGAGGCTTGTCCTGGCCCTAGTGAGTCCCCCAAACCAATAACTCACATAAACTTTCTGAAGGCAAATATAAAACTTATACATACAAATATATAAAAATAAAACATTAACAACATATTAACTTGGGAAAATGACAATAAAATCCCGCTAAAATAATAAATGACAATCAAATCCTCAAAATGTTATAATTCTTCTAAAGTCTCTGGGTACCTTTCTGACACTAATGATTGAAAGTTAAATGAATAATTTGCCACTTGTTTAAAATAAAAATAACAGATTTGGCTCTATCTTTTTAATCACAACTTCTGTTTAGCTATGAAAAATTTAATAACTCCATATGATATAAATTTTGGTGGTAATGAAATCTATTTAGCTATTTAAAAAGTAAAAGAAAAAGTAATTTTTTATGGGTAAGTCAGTTGCATATACCCAAAAACACTTTTTTTTTGTGTTAATGATTTTTTTTTTTTTTGAAGATTTGTCTTTCCAACTTCGTGCCCTCCTCCACGGGCATTCAAATTATTAAAAGTTAGCTCTTTTTGTGCATTGATGAAAACAGCTTTGCAAAGGTTTGCTTCCTTGTTCAAATGAATTTCCCCTGAGAAAATTAATTTTTGGTAATTCTGTAACTGTTATTTTTCAATGGCATATTGATCATAATAAAATTTTTTAATTTGGTTAAGACAAAATAATGCAATGTTCTTTGTAATCCTCTTTTAGCTAGCTAGACAATTTCTTACTTTAGAGAATTTATAGAATTTCTTTTGTAGTTACATTAAAACCATGTAAAATTGTTCAAAAAATTATTGCACAATATGTTTCTTATAATTTGCGTGTTGTTAGATTTGGTAAAAATGATTCACCATCTTTCTGGTTTGTTTATACATGCGTGGAAAATATTCTCAATAGATATACCTGTGACCAATTCAAATTCTATATCTTTAAGCATTAACTTCTTCTTGTTTTTTTTTTGTAGGTGATATACCAGAAGGTATTGGAGAACTGGATATGCTTCAAGAGCTATATCTTAATCATAATAATTTACAAGGTAATTTTTTCATCAACTTATAATATTATGGCTACTGTAGTTTTCTTTCTTTCTTTAGTTGTTTCTCAGTATTACAATGAACAACCATGCATCTTCTTTTCCTACTTTTCCTTTTTTAAAATAAATTTGTGTATGGGTGAAATTTTCTTTCCTAACAATTCTTTAAACATGAAAATAAGTCTTTATTAGTTTCGGTCGGTGAAAAAAATTTCTTTTCCAATAAATTTAGAAATGCTGGTTAGGATATCTGGTGGAGCATTTTGTTTGTTTTGAAGAGACGAAGCTCCACTTGGAGCGAGGAAAAAGGATTTGCAATAAAAATTTGTCCTCTAATCTAATTAAAAAAATGCATTTCTGGTCAAAATACAGTTCATTAATATATTAGAGTTTATGTACATTTATTGAGTGATAATATTAATATAAACATCAATATTCAAATATGACGTCTCCATCTCACTTGTTCCCTTTAAATTGTAAACTAGAAATAAAAAAAATTGGAAATACAGAACTGCAGTTCTAATAGTTTTACCAATTTGAATTTAATACGACATTAACTGCTGTCATTTTATATTGTCATTGTGCATAAAATTTTGTTTCTATAAAATCATTTTGTATGAGATTAATTAGTTAGTTCACTTTCATTATATATATATATAGTAGGTGTTAAAGAGATGTTCCCTTACAAAACTTGGCGGATTAGTTTATTGTTGTGACATTTTATTAGTAGCTACAGGACCGTGATACACCCAAATGCGTGAGATATCTCTACAATCCTTTTTACCCACAGTTGTTTTTATGGGATTTCCAAAATGATTAAAAACCCAACAAAAGTTCCCCACATGTGTATTAATGTATGCTTATGTGTGATGAATGTATATATGGAATTACATTTGATAACATCGCTTAGAAGCCCTGAGTTCTGAAGGAATATTCCTTGAATTTTATTTTACGAGACAAAAAAAGTACTACCTCTGTCCCAATTTATGAGACATTTTTATACAAGATCTTACCTATCAAACAAGTTCATTAAATATATTTTACAACCTTAATCTTTTAGGACAAAAATATAAACTTTTAAAAATATCATTATTTAATACTCTATTTGTTAAAGAATATTAGCGAAAGAGAATATATAGGAACGAAATATTGAAAAAGGACCAGTAATGGAACCTTTTTTTTTTGGTCAAAGTATATTATATTTTGGAACACTGAATCTTTTCAAAAAAATGTCTTATAAATTGGGATAGAAGGAATACTTGAATTAAGTAGTTTTTGTAGGGAGTTGCAATTTACTCTTCTCTCTTTATCCCTTTGTCTATTCCCCTCTTCTCAGTTTTAATCTCTCTGCTTCGTCTTCTTTTGCTATGACTGGAAGGAGTCAATATCATGGGAAGATTTTAAAATAATTATTTTTGATTATACTGCTTTTTATTTTTTTTGGTGCCTTTTGTTCAAAATATATTAAAATAATTATTTTGACATTTATTTTAATATTTATAAAAGGAAAATATTTTAATTGATGAAAATAATTAATTCTATGCATGCAAATTAGTTAACATCATTAATTTTTATCCTAACTTCTGTTACTCAATTTATTCTAACTTCAATTTTGCAATTTCTAATCCAAACACAACCTAAAGTCAATCTTATCAAATACTATTTTGATTGCAAACTTGAGAAATTGAGTCATGACAAGTTAAACTTAAGGGATTGGGTCATAACCAAGGTAAAAGTTGAAGGACCAAATAACTAATTTTCCCAATAAAAAAAATTAGATCATGGAAATTTTGAAATTATGATCTTATATACTAAAAATTGATGATGTCATATGAGTTTTGTCTTGGAATGAGCTTCATGTTATGATCTCTCCCACTCCCACCTTTTTGTTAAACACCTAGTTATCTCTCTCTCTCTAAAAATTCGCACTTCAAAATCAATTTTTTAGTTTAGCAAACTACCAGGTCTTATAGTCACACAGTACACACTCACTTATAAAATAAACTACTGAGCAACTTACTTTTGATACCATATGTTAGGTCATTGTCGAATATTTAGCTATTGGACTGGGACTGACCCATAAACCCAAGGAGGATTATTTCCCAAAAAACTACTTTTTTTTGTTCTAGAATCATTCCTTTAATTGAAAAGGATAATGTTGGGATCTTTTTATTTTTTAAAAAGCAACAAAGTAATAGTATTTTCTTAAAATATATGAAGATGTTGGAAATATCTTTAAGAATAGGTGGGAGTATGTTTTATATTATTACATTAAAGTCTATCACTATAAATTTAGAGTTTGAGTGAAATTTTTGTCAAATTATTTTTACTAGTGGTGGTTAAAACACACACGTTACAAGTATCTTTTCACTCTAGGTAGCCAGCCTTACGGGAGAAAATCTAAGAAAGGTCATTATATAATGATGATGTGGAATTTATTCTGAGTACAAATTTAGGGAAAGTGAAAATTTTCAATTACTTCTGTAATGTCATTTTATTATACATCCACATTTGTATAGCAATGTGTGATTTTTCAATAGAATTAGACACTTTGTGCTTTAACTCATGCATGTATCCCCTATGATATAAATGTCCATCTTCTTTCAGGCCATATACCAAAAACACATCGGAAACTTGACCAAGCTTCAATTGTTGTATCTTAATTACAATAACTTGGAAGGTATGGTATATCCAACAAATCATAGCATTGTTATATATGTTTGTTTTATCTGCATCTAAATTACAAGAAATATCCCTAATAAGCATCTTTCTTGTGTCTTTATCACAAACGTGGGAAACCATATGTTAGGTAATTGTACAATATTTAGTTATTGGACTGGGACTGACCCATAAGCCCAAGGACGATTATTCCCAAAAATTACATTTTTGGTTCTAGATTCATTCCTTTAATTAAAAAGGATAATATTGGGATCATTTTGTTTTTAACAAAGTAACAATGTAATAGTATTTTCTCAAAATATATGAAGATGTAGGAAATATCTTTAAGAATAGGTGGGAGTATGTTTTATATTATTACATTAAAGGCTATCACTATAAATTTAGTGGTTTGAGTGAAATTTTTTCAAGTTATTTTAACTAGTGGTAGTTAAAACATACATGTTACAAGTATCTTTTCACTCCAGATAGCCAGCCTTACGAGAGATAATCTAAGAAAGGTCATTTATATGATGATGATGATGGAATGCGTTATGAGTACAAGTTTAGGGCAAGTGAAAATTTTCAATTACTTTCTATAATTGCATTTTATTATTCATCCATATTTGTATGGAAATGTGTTGATTTTTCAATAGAATTAGACAATTTGTGCTTTAACTCATGCATGTGTCCCCTATGACTATAAATGTCCATCTTCTTTCAGGCCATATACCAAAAGACATCGGAAACTTGACCGAGCTTCAATTGTTATATCTTAGTGACAATAACTTGAAAGGTATGGTATATCCAACAAATCATAGCATTGTTATGTTTGTTTTATCTGCATCGAAATTGCAAGAAATATCCCTAATAAGCCATCTTTCTTGTGTCTTTATCACATAAGTGGGAAATATTTCAATAGATAAATGTGACCAATTTGAATTCTATATCTTTAAGCGTTATTTTTTGTTTGTAGGTGATATACCAGAAGATATTGGAAAATTGGATATGCTTCAAGGGCTATGTCTTGATCATAATAATTTACAAGGTAATTTTTGTCGTCAAATTATGATATTCTGGCTACTTTAGCTTTTCTCTCTTTTTAGTTGTTTTCTCAACACTACCATGAACAAGAATGCATTTTCTTTTCCTATTTTTCTTTTTGTTTATAAAGTGTATTAGTGAAGTTTTCTTTTCTAACAATTCTTTAAAAATAAAAACAAGTATTTAGTTCTTGGCCAAAAAAAATTTTCTTTTCCAATAATTTTAGAAATGCTGGTTAGGATGTCTTGTGGAGCATTTTGCTTGTTTGGGAACAGATGAAGCTCCATTTAGAGTGACGAAAAATGGATTTGCCTTTATGGATCTCCACATTAATCCAAAAATTAATATTTTAAAGTGCATGTGAATTTATATGGAATATTTTGGAAAATAGTTTAAAAATAATGCATATTTAAATAGTTGTTTTGCGCCAATACATATTTAAATAGTTAAGTATACATGATTTTCAATTAGGACATGATATTATTTTTTAACAGTGCTTAAATTAATTTTAAAATCTTTATAAATTAGAATTTTTATTTAAAATTAATTTCAAAATTAAATACAAATAGTTTAATTAAGCATAGGGTAATATGCTTTAAAAATTTTATGAATTGTGGAGCTTTATATAAATTTTATAAGAGTAATTTAGAATGGTCTCTATAATTTTAGAATTTAAATCTGAAAATTTTTAACTCTATAAAGAAAGGTGCAATTCAAATCATCAGGATTGGAATTTTTGTTTTAATGAATCGCATGGGGATAGGGATGGGGATGTGTTGGTAAAGTTTTGTCTGATATATATATATATATATATATTTAAAATTTTATATGTTTTAGTTCAATTTTATATAATCTGAAAATATTGCTACCCAAGCCCTTATACACTTTTTTACTCTTTCATATTTCTTTATATATTTTATTGAGCTTCCTAGACATTTTTTTAGTCCTTCAATATTTTCTTGTATCTTTTAGTTATGTTTTCATTTTTTGGATAAATAATTATATCTATTTCCTTTCTCCAACAGACATTTTTCATTGTTTTAATTTTTTTATGTATTGTCAATATAACAACATATCTTTCCGACATGATATACATCATATAAAGTATAATAAATAATTGTGAGGAACCTGTGTGGACCATCATCGTTCATCTTAAATATTTTTGAATCTATGTGAAGGTCAATAAAATATATATTGAAACATTAAAGACTATATATATACCAAAAGACCGTTCTTTTCTTTTTGTTAGATAATTACGTGTTGAAAAAAAAATAAGGATACTATTACAAAAATTAGTATTCAACTTGTATGTCATATAGGAAAAATAAGTATTTTTTGATTATCCATTTAGTTTTTTTTTTTTTGGCTACATGTAGCTTATGATATTATATTAAGAATGTGTAACATTGAATGCACATGGAACCAAAAAAGGGGGACAAATAAAAAAATTGTGTGCAATTGGCACTGTAGGAGGGGATCAACTTCCACGTGTCATGGGTTATATTTTTATTTTGAACATTTAGACAGTAACCAACAAATTACAAGTATATGACTATTTTTTTTTTCCTTGTCACATTTTTTGTGAATAACAATTGCAAACATCATATTTTCGTAAGCACATTCCATGAAATATTTTATAAGAAATGGAGGATTTTTTAAATTAAATAAAAACATTATAAACTTGAAAGATGATGCCTTGCGCGTGCATTGGCCTCAATCATCTCATAAAGTTATATTGTATCATTTTAACACATTACATGAAACTTTAAAATTACAAAATCTATCTCTCCTTATAAAATCATCTCATATACTTGGGCATAAATTAATTTTTTATTAAATATCTACATGCATTGGAAACTTTATTTTGCTTAACTATAAACAATTCGATCTTGGTCACAATAACTTACAAGCTATACTGTTAACAGATTATATTTTGGTGCCATCCCTCTTTTTTTTTTTTGTCTTTTGAAACTTTGATAATTATGAATAAATGCTAATAGCTATTTGGTCAAAATACAGTTAATTATTTGTAATATTAAAGTTGGAACATATCCATTTTGATAAAATATTAATACTTATCACTCCCACAATAGTAATAAATTTGGAGTATTTTGGGTCAAACCCAGAGAAAGATAGTGATATTTTTTATTTATAAAAATAAATAAGAGTTTTGAAAAGATTTTAATAACTGATTAAATAACACAAATGAATAAGGAAATGATAAAAGCGATAAACTAAACCCATTAAAAAGTGTCAGTGATTAGGATTCACTACCAGGATGAATTACTCTACTCTAATCTGGTTATTTATTTCCTTTCTTTTATAGCCACAACAATTTCTAAGGTATTCTAATTACTTTCCAGTTTATTAGGATACATTTAATTAGAGTTAGATTTTGCTCCCATTAAACTCTACTCTCTAACTAAACCATAAAGAATGATCTAAGTCACCACCAACTCCTAATTTTTTATTCTAATTTAATTATTGATGTCTGTCTCTCTACGTTTTTGTAAGTCTTTCGCCTTCTAATCATTGAGATAAAAGATATGAAAAGAATCTAAAGAGGATGAAAAGATAGAAAGCTCCCAACTCAAAAGAACTCATTTGGACTCTGTGATATGCCTCCTAGCTTTCAGATATGAGATTGGATGACTTTGAGAGGCTTTTGAGAAGTTTATTTATAATAAATTGTCCTCCTTAGACTTAGAATCCATCCAGATCACATCTTATCATATCTGATTTGCTGATATCCTATTTAAAATATATTAAAATATTTAATTTCTACTTCTATGTACATGCGTGTAGTCGAGCAACTTTTACAGCATTTGTCTGCAATCGGATGCGTTCAAGAAATTAATCACCATAGTGAGTTATGTCAGCGACCGAAGACAACGTTAGTTGGCTTGTCCGCGACCAGAGGTGTCTTTTTGGCCAGATTTCTTGGTCTTTGTCTCCAGGCTTCGTATTTTAAGCCCTTTTTCATGCCATTTTGTTTCTTTTTTCCTGGAACACATTAATCAGTCAAAATAAGAGCAAAAATCATATATAAATCTACGTAAATACCCACTTATCAAATATCTGTATCAATACTAAAATTTAAAGTGTTCATTTCAATTGTTCATTTAGAGTTATAAATGAGAATCTGAAATGGAAAATATAAAACTTCAAGTCTTATAATTTTATGAAGGTTAAAAAATAAAATTCTATAGTAATACCAAATTTAATTTTAATACGATTAAATGCTATCATTATATATTAGTGTTGTGTGTAAAGGTAATCTTTTTTTTTTGGTAAAATTAGACTTTATTTCTCTATAATCTTTTTGTTTGGGATTAACTCTTTAGTTTATGTTCGTTTAACATGGAACTTGATATGATTAGCTTATTATTAGTTCTGCAAGTAAATAATATAATAAAAAATAATTGTCTGATGATCTTTAATATATCAAATTTATTGAGGAGCTTCAGCACAACTGGAAGTGTTACTGTCACATTTTTATTATACATAATCACATGTAATTCTGCTAACTCTACTACTTAATTATTACAGTACGAATAATTCAGGATATATTTAATATATATGATAATTAAGTTTTCCATAAAGTTAATTCAAGTAACTTTTAAAATTTTGCAGTAAATTGCGTTAACTCTTCCCTCTTTATCCTTTTGTCTATTTCTTTCTCCTCACTATTGACCTCTCTGCTTCGCCATGAGGGATGAATCAAACCATGGGAAGATATTAAAATAATTATTTTCTGTTCTGCCTCTTTTATCATATTTCCATGCATTTTATTTAAGACATATTAAGATAATTATTTTGATACCTTTTATTTTAATATTTAAAAAGGGATAATATTATAATACTTGAAAACAATTAATTATATGCACGCAAATATATGTGTTATATGGAAAAAATATATATTTAACTTTATATATTTAAGGGGTTTCTTTCTGATTAAATCAATATATGTGGACTTTTTTATAATTTAATATTTTATATTTTATCAACTTATTTTAGCTTTTATAATTTAATATTTAGTAATTTATTAATTAAGTTTATATTTTTATAATTTATAAATAATAGTTAGTTGTACATAGGCTCTTTTTGTTAAATTATAATTTAAAGTTTAACATTTTTTCTTGAAAATATCAAATCAAAATATAAAATATTTATCATAAACTTAATATCGTTTTTGGTCATTATACACCTAAACTTGCTTTGAAATTTTATCATTCAAACAAGTTTATGTTTGTCAGATTGACTTTTAGAGAACAAAATATCCAAACATAAATTAGTTGATGTGGCTGATTTTTATCCGAAGTTCTGTTTGCAAACCTCAATTTATTCTAACTTTAATTTTACAATTTCTAATCCAAACACACCTAAGTATTATTATAAATCACATCTCCTTCTTTTATTCTATTTCTTATTTATTTTTATTTCCTTTTTCTTTATCAAATTGCAGGAGACATTCCAATAGAGATTGGCCATCTTCAAAAGCTAAAAATTCTATATTTGGATACTAATATGCTATCTGGCCACATACCATCAAATATTTTAATATATCAGAGTTGCAAGAAATTGATTTAAGCTGGAATAATTTGTTAGGAATTCCCTCTAATATATGTCATGGACTTCCAAATTTACAAATGCTAAATCTTCAAGACAATGAATTATCAGGAGCCCTGCCATCTAATTGGATACAATGCAAAGAGCTCAAAGACTTACGATTAGAACAGAACTCTTTCACAGGTTTGTGCTGCCCCACTATTTTAAATCTGCAGCTTTATTTTCTTTGCAAATACATTTTAATTGCACATTAATGATTTGGGATTGGTCAACGCTGTAGAAGAAAAATAGAAAAATAAATTAAATTATATTTTATATTTTCATTTAAATTAAATTATATTTTTATATTTTTATATTCTCAATCTCTCCATCTTACATTCCTTTGTCCTTGTCGTGCAACCCCATTTTCATTTTGCAGATCATCATTTTTTTTTTAAATACTGTCAGGATTCTCTTTCCGTTGTTGCTTGTTTGGAAAGCCAATTTTTAATTCATTTCATTTAATATAGGACACTTTACGATTGGCTTTGCTTTTGTTCTGCAAGTAATAATCTAAGGAAAAAAAGTAATTTTGTTATGATATTTATTGAAGAGGTTCAGCACAAGTGAAAAGTGTTACTACCACATTTTTTTCCTTTTCACATGACTTTATATATGAGTATATATTTTTATTATGACTATGAAAGCTTATATAATAAATTTTGAGATTTTTCAGGATCATAAAAAATATAAAAATTTTATTTTTTATTTCCAAATATATATTTTTATTTTTTATTTTAAATGTAAAAGGTAGTTGACTAATGCATGCCAATTAAGAAAATTAGGTAAGTTAATTATTTGTAAAACATATATGCTAGTTTTCCTAAAATACCAATCATTTTAATCATTTACATTATATTGGAGTATTGTTAGTATAGTTTATAGATTATATAAGAATCTAACTATGAGGGATTAAGGGTGATGTGAAAGAATATAATAATTATGAGAGACAATTGTGGATCAGATAACCAAAAATTGTGTTTGGAATTTGCAAGACTTTGCTCATCATAGTACAAGTATTACTCATTTAACCTCAATATTTTGGGCTGAAAAATAGAGATAAGCATATACCCCCTCCATTAAAACATGCAAGGCATTTCTAATATTTCAAGGTGTAATATATATACTTTTCAAAATGTCCAAAATAAATAAATCACTTTATATTTACTTTAAAGTAATGAAACACCCTATTAGATAACAAGTCTGAAAATACAGATCTTGAGTACTAATAATTTGTCCGGCCACATACCAAGAGAAATTGGGAGTTTGGAGTTCCAAGAGCTAGACCTCACTGTGAATAATTTACAAGGTACCTTCATCAAAACATAATATCAATATTTTTTTACTTTTTAAATGAATTTATCAGCATCATTAGAAACATTTGTCTTTTTTTCTTTTTTGTCCTTTTCATTTGGGTGTTTTAATCATATCACAAGTAGTAATCCTAAGAAAATGGGTGATCTTGTAAATTTAAAAATATGAAGACATTCACATCACAACCCCATCATTTTCTTTGTCTTGCTCTTGATAGCAACGTGAAAGCCCTTATTTACATTTATATCTTCACCATCTTCAATTGTTGTGCTCTATAGCCCTCAACTACACATTCAAATTTGTGGCCCACATGCACAAGAATTGTGTTGTGAAATTTGCAAGACTTTAGTGTGCATCAAATAGAAGTATTACTCTATGTAATAACATCAATCTTCTTGGCTAAAAAACAAGTGTAGGCATATAATTAATATTGTTCTATTGATTTCATGAAGATTTACCTCTCCAACTTCACACTCTTTTCTTTTGAATATCTCAATATTTTTTTCTTCTTTTTATTTCGGTCTCAATTTCATGAAGATTTTCCTTTTAATTATCAACATAAAGAGATGAGAGATGTTGAACTAACATATTATGGATTGTCTGTGTCTTTGTAGCTCTATCTCAACTTAACATTTTCGTTATCTTCTTTTGTTGACTTCTTTTCTTCCACATCATCACTTTTGTAATACCGCCAGACTTCTCTTTTTTCCATTGCTTATTTGGAATAAAGTCAAATTTTGAGGGAAATATAAGAAAAATAATTGTTAAACAAATGTGTGACTAATTATTACCATAATTGTTAATTAATTGAGATTAAGAAAGTATTTTTGGCCGCACATAAAAACAAGTTGAAGTTTACTAGTTATCACTTCAGTTGTTCCATTAAATATGTATGATTTTGAAAAATTATTTTTATCTTAATTAACTATGTGAATTTTCAATGCGTATTTTGGCTGACAATGTAGGGTTTATTTACATTCCAAAAGCCAGTAACCCAAATTTAAAAATACAAGTGACATATTTTATTATATAATTTCTTGTGCTAATAAAGTTTCTAATAGTCTCTAATTGCCAACTCTGCACACCAGAAATTGTTAAGATATAATTTTATTTGAAATGGAGGTAAATACCAAAGAAAATAAATTTTTGCAACTTCATTAGAGTCCAAGCGCGTTATAATTTTTCTCTCTTTTTTTGCATCCTTAAAAGCTATGCTTTGATTCATCACAATAAATTTCGGTTTTTTTAATGGTTATCATGCTCATTGTACAATAACTTCACTTATAGGTTTACTGTTTTTATTTGATTCAAAGCTATCTGTCACTTTACTGCAATTAGCTCCACTAGTTCATTGCAGCTGTAAATTGACTTCAAAATTGTAAATTGTGGAGGAATAAGAAGTTTTTCACTGTTCACAATAAATTTGATGGGAGTCTTTTTGATATCACATTGCAGGAGACATTCCTAATGAGATTGGTAATCTTAAAAGCCTAAGAATTCTATATTTAGATGTCAATCAGTTTTTTGGCCAAATACCGTTAACTATCTTCAATATATCTGAGTTACAAAATATTGATCTAAGTTGGAATAATTTGTGGGGAGGCATTCCTTCTAATATATGTGATGGTCTTTCAAAATTACAAATTTTGTTTCTTGGAAACAACAAATTATTTGGAGCTATACCATCTAGTTGGATACAATGCAAGCAGCTCAAGGAGTTACAATTAGAAGAAAACGCGTTCACAGGTGTGTACCATCCAATACATCAAATCTCTAAATTTAATCAAAGCATATATATTTGATTGCACTTTTGTGCAATAATATCAATGCAGACCATAGAACGCATTGGAATTCCATATCTCTTATTTTTATCAAAATGAAAATCCTCCATGACAAAATAAAATATCTTTAAAAAATAAAAAAATCTCAGGAGAATATATTAGACCTGTTTTGGAAAATATATATAAAGTAACCAGCTTACTTTTATCTTTTTGGTTCATTGCTTGACCGTGAACCACTTGAGCATAAGTTCAAATATCTGGTAGGACAAAAATATATAAAATAAAATAAAAAATTTGATATTTCATTTTAGGGAGTATAAAATTAATTTGTATAATTTTTAAATCTCAATTGTCTAAAAATTATTGCAGCCAATCCGCCCCAATTCCATCTTCCACTATAATGTATGACAATGATATACTAAATAAAACACCTGTGATAAAAAAAAAAAAGGAAAAAAAACTTTCTGATTGTAGATTGTAGCGTCGTAAATGAACCTCAGTAATATACCCGGAAAAAATTATTTTCAATATATTTAATTTTTAGTTCTAATTTTTTTATTTTCATTTTACTTTATAGTCTAATGGAAAATCAAACTCTTTGATACATATTATTTTCTTTATTTTCTCCACATTACCGAGTAGTGTCAACTACTTGCACAGGAGAAGCCTTGCTCGAGCTAGATTCCTGAACCATGAGCACGGGTCACCCATTTCTCTTCTATAGAATACTCCCGCTAGACTATAATATATGGCATTTTCTAGAAACCTTGCTTGATCTAAATTTAGGGCATTCTATAATATATATATATATATATTCAATTACACACTTACTTCATTACATTCCACCTAAGTAATTAATCAGGATGTTTTGAATAAGTCAAATGTTATATTTATTCCACTCAAGCACAAATTAGTAATTGTAAAAATGTGAATTTTTTTTTACAATCAATATTTTAACCTTTTTTTGAAAAATGTAAATTAGTTAACCAATGACTTATATTGTAGTCTAGTGGGAGTATATGATTCTAATTTAAACTGCTGAATTTTTGGACAATATCTATCATATTATTGCAGGTGATTGCTCCTCTTAGAGGATACCCTACAGTAGCCATTGGTATACATTTTTTGGATAAACCCATTAATTGGTTATATTTTGATTAACAATTTTCAGATATATATATATATATATATAGTCAATCATCTCCACAAAGTTCCGCATGCCATCAGTTTTATCTAGCTATATCATGAAATTCCAGGACCATAAAAGCCATCACCTTGCAGTGTTATGTACCTTCACTTTTATTATTCCTTATTAAATTTTAAATTTACAAAATAACTTTCGAATAACATAAAAAGTATTCAAAACGTACTGTTCATTTTTCATTCAATATAACATTTAATTTTTTAACCCTCATAGCATTATGATTTTCTATTGTTGTAGGAGATCTACCAGGAGGCATTGGAAGCTTAACTATGCTTCAAGTGTTAAATCTTCGTTACAATAACTTAAAAGGTACGTTAAATTGTAAGTGCTGATCATGTTTTTGTTAATAAGAAATTCTACGCATAAGCAATCATAGTCGTCTTAGATTTGGTTTCCCTCGTTGCCATATTTAAATTTTAATGAGCTTTCTACCTATAAATTAGGAGGAAATAGAAACTTCACTATGCTTCACACATATATATGAACCGAAAGGTAAAATCTAGGGTGATAACATTTGGGAACACCCAACATTAAAGCAAACATCATTGGTATATGAAGTCATTTACACAAACTTTGTCATTATTTTTGTTGTTAACTTCACTAAAACTTCAGCTGCTATTTGCTTCTAGATTTAGTACACATGTAGAAATAAGAAATCTTTGCAAGCTTGACATGTTATGCTTGTCACTAGACAAATCTAGTAGAGATCTACACTTGCAAAATATTTTTGACATATCAAGTTTGAAAATTTATGTTATGATCTCATTAACGATTTGTTATCAGGTAGTCTTCCATCAAATTATGGGAATCTCACTAATTTGTATGAACTATCTTTAGAAGAAAACAGTTTGACTGGAACAATTCCAACAACAATTAGTAGCTTACAAGATCTTCAATATTTAAGTCTTGAAGGCAATAAGCTACATGGTGCAATCATTGAAGAGCTTTGTGGAATCCCAAGACTTGCCTATTTATATCTAAGTGGGAATAAATTTCTGGACCAATACCACATTGCTTAGGAAATGTTACCTCCTTACGAGAACTTCACATGGACACTAATAAGTTAACTTCAGAGATACCCTTTTCTTTTTGGAATTTGAAGGACATATTGATCGTGAACTTGTCTTCCAACAGTTTAGTTGGAAATCTTTCATTCAATATTGGAACCTTAAAAGCTCTTATGTCATTGGACTTGTCAAGAAATTATATTTCAGGCATCATTCCTTCAACCATGGGTGGTTTGCAAACATTGCAAATTCTCTCCTTAGCACATAACAATTTGCAAGGAAATATTCCTAAATCCTTTGGAAATATTAAAAGTTTAATGAATTTGGACCTTTCCCACAATCTGGTGAGATTCCTATATCTTTGGAGTCACTTGTTGATCTAAAATATATCAATCTCTCATTTAACAAACTACAAGGAGAGATTCCAAGTGGAGGTGTTTTTAAAAAATTTGACTACTAAATCTTTCTTGATGAATGAAGCTCTTTGTGGTAAACAAGAACTAAAAGTACCCCCTTGTAGAAAAGGAAAAAGGTCACTAGAAAAATCACTTTTATTCAAGTGCACATTACCCATATTTGTGTCAATAATTTTGATTATTTTTGGCATTCTCCTTTTAAGGCAAAGACAGCCAAATTCAAGGTATCATTTAGAAAGGGATTCATCAATTTTAGGAGTGCCAAGGAGGATTTCATATTTTGAAATTCTAGAGGCAACTAATGGATTTGATGAGAGTAACTTTCTTGGAAAGGGGAGTCATGGTGATGTGTTCAAAGGAAAGCTTTTGAATGGGATGATGGTTGCCATTAAAGTATTTAATTTTGATTCTGAAAAAATGTCAAGGAGCTTTGAAGTGAAATGCAACACAATGCGTAATGTGTGTCATTATAATTTGGTGAAGATCATAAGTAGTTGTTCCAATGTTGATTTAAATGTTTGATAATGGAGTTTATGCCCAAAGGAAGCCTTGAAAAATGGTTATATTCTCATGATTATTGTTTGGATTTCCTACAAAGACTGAATGTAATGATAAATGTAGCATCTGTTTTGGAATATTTCCATCATGGCTTGTTAACACCAATAGTTCATTGTGATTTGAAGCCAAGTAACATTTTGTTAGATGGTGATATGGTTGCTCATGTGAGTGACTTTGGGATTTCCAAACTTTTAGATGAAGGGCAATCTAAAACACATATAGAAACGATACCTACAATTGGATATATTGCACCTAGTAATTATTCTAAACCCAACTTCATCTTGTTCTTTTTGCATTTTTATTTTGAAATTGCTTTCTGTTCTTAATTTCTTTTTAGATTACATTGGAATCACCTCAATAAATGATACACATGAAATCTTTCATACTCTATCACTTATTATTTAATATCATAGAAAATTAATATATAAAATATTCATTGCTTTCTATGAGCAATACTACAATTGTGTCAACAAAGCATTAGATCTTCCTGATTTAGTCTCTATAGATAAGAAGTTTGATTGATGATTCACATGGCATTAAAGTCATCTATCAAATAAATACTTGAAACCATTACTCCCAAATTCTTCTATGGAGAAAAGTATTCTCAAATATATATATATATATATATTCTAATTTTTATTTGAGGAAGGTTCTTGTATAAAATAATCAACCAAAGATAATTTTTAATTATTTTTATGTGTATGTATATGATATGTGAGAGGGGGGGGATGCAAATCATGTACTATGGCTTGTTTTTTACTCTACCATAACACATTAATTCATAGAAAAATCCAATTGCATTTGCGGAAGTTATTTATTTATTTTTTTGCTGGATTTAAAAGCAAAAAGAATTGCCTATTGTAATGATGTATAAAAGATAATAGTGTAATGATCACCACATATAAATTATTAGTTTTTGAACCATTTATCTTAATTGAAAAATTAAAATGTTTATTTTAATTTATTAGTTTGTAAATTTTGATTGAGAGAGAATTGATTTATTATGTGCTTGAATCCAATCTATGTAGAACATGGAGCTACTGGAGTTGTTTCAACAAAAGTAGATGTATATAGCTATGGAATTATATTAATAGAAGTGTTCACAAGAAAAAAACCAACAGAAGACATGTTTGCCTCAAGATTGAACTTGAAGAGTTGGGTGAGTGATTTAATACTGCCTGAAATAATTAATGTCATAGATTCCAATTTATTGCAGGAAGATGAACACTATATTGGTGATATATTGACTTCTACATTCTGCATTTTGGAATTGGCATTAAATTGTTGCATTGATTTTCCTGAAATGCGAAGCAATATGACAAATGTTGTAGTATCATTAAACAAGATCAAAAACTTGATTATGCAAAGGCAAAATTGTTGACATTGTTAAATAAGTATTACTCTGTTTTCAATTTATGTTGTATATTTTCCTTCAGAAACATGCTTGGCACATTACTTGTATGATGAATGCATATTTGTAATAATTGTTATTTGACATGGTTGATGAGCTTTTGTGAGCAATGAAGGAGTGTGTACATTTGTTAAATTTTTTATTTAAGAAACGCAATGTTGTAATAGCAAGTGTTCAACAAAATATCATGCATTTTGATGATTTTGATAACTTTGCTTGCCAAGGTTGCTAGAATGGGTAGACAGGGGGGCAGAAATTGGTAAGAAAAGTAAAAAATTTTAGTACTATATTTTTAATCTTTGTTTGTCATTTTAATTTTGATCCGTGGATTAATTAGTCCATGAATTACCTACCAATAGTTAGGGACTGATTTGGAGAGGATAATACTTTTTGTTATGAAATGAAATTTACTAGTCGCCATTGAACCAAAATGTCAATACAATGTTGGTTTGACAATTTATAATCCTAATTTTAAGTATTTTTACACACTAGCTTGCAGGAATGTGATGCCAATATGGAATGTGCAAAAGATTTAGTAACTTAAAATATGAGCTACATATTGAATGAGAAATATGAGCTATAATCCCCAATATTTTGCCCGAGAAATATGAGAAATTGTCATTTGTAAGATAAATGGAAAATTGATATTATATAATTTAGAGCCCATTTGCTTAGTTTTTTATAAAAATAATCACCTTATGTCATATTTTAATATGGCTTGTTTAAGATTTTAAAAATGATCAGAATCTAAAAAGATCATATGTCTAATTATTTATAGAAACTAATTGAGTAGCTCCTTAAAATAAGTCATGCCTTAGATGAGAGAGGAAAAAAAAACAGAGCTATTTTCAAGAAATATTTTTTAAGAACAAAACATAATATGTTTCAACATTCTACCACTTTTTTCTTTTCTTCTACATCATCTTCTGTCTTCTCTTCCTCTCAACGTCAGTGGTCTTCTTCTTCATCTCCTCCAGTCTACGTCTATTTGCCCCATCTTGCCGACTCTCCAAGATTGCTCTTACGCACATCCCTTACCTTTTCACTTACTGATGCGTTCCCTCTCATCATCACAAATTAGAAGAATCCCTCTGAGTTGCAATCTAAGGAGCATCCAATCTTCAACCATAACTGCTCAACTAAGATGATTCATATTCCTGATTCTGCCATATTCTTTCTCTAGAGAAACTCCATTTTTGTGGCTGAGATTGCTATGTTTTAAGCAGAGAACTTTGTTTCAGAGATCTAGTTTGGAATCTTCATTAAGATGTGATTTTGTTTAGTTGGTTGAATTGTAAATAGCGTCAAGGAGAGCGGAAGACAATGAGTCATCTCACATCGGTTTCCTCCCGTTCATGTTTGAGGCATGCAGATTCTGCAGGGAAGAACCAAAATATGCAACAAAAGAAGAAAGAAAAATGCGGAGGAGAATTTAGTTCAAGGAAGGTGAAGAGCAATGGTCAATATGGATTGTGGAGGTAGGAATGTCATAAGGTGATAGAGACATTAGTAAAGATATATATATATATATATATAAAGCAAGTATAGCAAGTAGATGAACGAATGGATGAAAACAAAAAAGGTAAAAGAACAAAGGAACATTGCGTGCGAGGTTGAGATTTAGTCTAAGCATATGACGGAATGAGAAATGAGATAGCGTTATGAAGTGGTTAACCAGAGAATGACTGTAGATATGTGACTTTGATTTGGAATATTTTGTATATTTGTTAACCTACTGTATGTTCAATTTTTCATTTTTTTTTTGTAAAAAAAAAGATTCTTTTATTGTAACCAAACATAAACATTTTTTGATTTTTTTCAAAATCTCCATAAAATAAATAGCTTAATATAAAATCCCTAAACTATCTAAAATCACATACTTTTTTTTAATCTAAGAAACAAGCCCTTAATTTGGAAGCATGCAATGGTTTTTTTTTTTTTTAATTTGTAAAGGTGCACATTAAAGCTTTGAATTTTAATTTCTATTGTCTATTTATTAAAATAAAGATTTATAAATTTTTTTTATAAATCTATTCATCATCAACTTGGATGGTTCAAATTTAATCCAGATGATCTAATTTAATATTTATAATTTTATAATTTTTATAAACTGACTATCCATATCTGTTTTAGACAGTTCATATTTGATATTAATTTTTTCATAATTTTTATAAATTTTAATTTTGGAAATAAAATAAAATGATTTTAATTAATTTTCCATACAAACAAAACTAGATCTCATGATGTCACTCCAGTCCCTAGATTCTCCTCTGATCCTCATCAATCCTTCATAAAAACTGTGTTTTGAATGTTAACGTACGGAAATGCAAATTTTTCTATCAACAATTTTATTGGTTCTCCCGTCTTGTTTAAAGAATGATTAGAATAGGAGAATGACAGTTAGAAATCTCATAAGAACATTAATGACAATTACAGACCTTGAATTATTGAAATCCTAATAATATACCATAGTCCTTATTTGCGATAAATTATCTTTCATTGATTGGCTTGAAATTCATAACTAACTTTAATAATTTTCAACTAACACTACAAATATTCCCAACAATCTTTTGTTGATTTCCCAAGTGATAGCAAACCATCACAAGTGATTAGCTTATGATTCACAAATGACTTTCATAAATTTCTAATTAATGTTACAAATAATCTCAAGTGTATTTAGTAGATTTTTCAAATAATTTATCTATATATTAATAGCAAAAAATCACAAATGATTGGCTTGTGATTCAGAATTGACTCTCATAAATTCTCAACTAAAGTTACAAATAGTCTCTAGTGTATTTACTTGATTTACTATGTGGTTTATCAATATATTGATAGCAAAAGATCAAGATTCACAAATAACTATTGTAAATTTCCAACTAATGTTACAAATAATCCCAAGTGCATTTAGTAGATTTCTCAATTGACTATTCATTTTTTTAATTACAAGTAAGGACCATATCTATTATTGAAATTTCAGTAACTTAGAATATGTAATTGTTATTAATGGTCATATAGGGTTCTTTATTATCATTTTCCAATTAGATTTGGGCCGCTTAATCAGCCTCCCACCCCATCATGGGACTTTGGAACCAAGAATCAAAGACAAAGCAATGCAGTCACTGGATTGAGAGTGTCATATTCAGTTACTCCCTTTGGATCACAATATAAGTCATTATTAACTAAATTATGTTTCTTAAAAAAATTGGTTAAAATCTTGATTTTCTAAAATTTTTTATATCTTTCCAATTGTACCATTGAGTGGAATAAATATAACACTTGGCTTTTTCAAAACATTCTCATTAATTACTTAACTAAAAATATAATAAAGTAAGGGTATCATTAAAAAAAAAACAAATACGTATGTGTGTGTGTGTGTGTGTGTGTACCCACCCAATGCGTTACATTTTGAATCAAGTAGGGCTTCTAAAAAAACACCTTATATTGTGGTTTGGAGAAAGTACCTTTTTCCAATAAAAATATTTATTTGAATTTTTAATTGGGAAAATTGGTGAAAAAGATCTAGTTGAAAGAGAAATTGTGCCCAAGGAGCAAGTTGAATTAAAGGACCAAACTAAATATTTTATTCATTAAACAATCTGAACAAATGATCAAGATGTCCCTCTGTTTAAACTAACGAAATTGAAAAAAAAAAGGCTGCATATTCAACATATGCACCCTAAGCTAGATTCTTTACACCTTAAGCTAGAAGCCTTATATCTTAAGCCAAAATACGTGCATAAGCAAAAGCCTTGTACCCACCAAGAACCCTTGGACCCTAAGCCAGAAGCCTTGCACCTATGATTATAAAAATTACAGCTTACTTTCTAGCTTTTGACTTGGGGTGCATAGCTTTTGGCCTAGGTGCAAGGCTTCTAATTTAGGGTGTACATGTTGAACATGTAGTCTTTTTTTTTTTTTTTCATTTCCTTGGTTTATACAAAGAGGCATTTTGATAAATGACAATTTTATATATTTTTATCCTTTTAATTTAGACTTTTAAATATTTATTTGAAGCTAATAGAGTTTTATTAGATATTATTTAATTTTATTAGCCAATATTCAGTTTTGGGATTTTAACTAACTAAATCTTTGATTTTAAAATATAAACAATATCTTTAATATTTTTTGCACAGGTGCTATTTAATTCTATTTTATTTGTGCAGATCTTCTAAATTCAATTTGAAAGATATTGATAAAGAACATATTGGATAAGAAGAATATGGGCATGCTCGGAGATCAAATC